ATCAGGCCATAGAGACTTCGAATAGTACCACCAACGTTTCAACTATAGAGAAGCACTACTTACCTACTCGTACGGGGAGGCAAAGGCAGTAGACCATCTAGTCTACTACCAAAAGACCCTAGTGAGGAGGTATCAGTGGCCTACCCTCCACCCTTCTAGTCCACTCGAGCCTATAGGACCTATAGGATCCCTAGAGCGGTACTATAAGGGGCTAATTACTAATCCTAAAGGCTTCCAGGCCTTTCTCTCCGTAACGGACTTCTTCCAGAAGATCTGCCCGCGGTACTAAGGACTAGGTCTTGACCTAGGCCCTACCAACAACCCCCTCCTCGTAGAGGATCTGACGGTCACAACGGAACTAGAGAACCAGCGGGTACTAGGGACGAACAGGACACATAGTAGCCCACGGGCAAGACTTGGAGGACGTTAGGAAGAGGCGTGTACTGTAGAGTATGTAGCTTGAGCCTGCGGCCCTCCACGCCATATACCCCTCGGGAGGTCGGCCGCAAGGGCGGCTGCGCCCTTGCCGCCACGGCGTTAAATACAACAACAACAACAACTAGGCAGTAGAGAGTTGAATCTCGTCGACCGTTTTGTCGTCCTCGGCGGTATCCTTGTTGCCATCATCATCGGGGCGTACCGCTCCAACCGCAGCTTCGGCCGAATCATGCTGGGCATGAGACGTTTCGTCAGTAGCGGCCGAAGGCATGATGCGGCGCTGTAGATTCGACTGTGAGTGGACCCCCTTCCTTCATCCGCATCCGAATGGGAGATCTAGAAGCTACCGCATCGTCGAAGTCGTCGTCTTCGTTGTCACCGTCACCGCCGCCGTTGTTGTCGCCATCGTCTTCAAATTTGTAGGCCCTCGGATCCACAGCAGCTGCTAGCGAGAATGCCGTAAACAGGTTCGCTCGCAGGTCCAAGAAGTCATAGTCAGGCAAGTCTTTCTCATCGTGGGCAAAGATTCGAATGATCTCTCCGCCGAGGAAGGGATGATTGGTTTTGACATTAAAGGCCGCAAAATGCATGGGATCAAGGTCCTCGAAGTGCTGGCGGGGATCAGTGTCGAAAGGAACGGTTTGCTGCATGCCTGGAAACTCCGTCTTTCGAAGCCAGTAGAAGATCAGCGTCAAAACCCATACGACCTTCGTCTGAGGTTCATCAGCCTGGTCTTCTGCTGGAACTGGGACGACCGTCTGGACTGGGCGACCCATCGGCTTGAGCATGAAATCTCCCCCTGAACCAACATTGGCCTATTGATAGGTCCAAGCAGATCATGTTACGGCGAGTGTCGATGATATTTTCATCGCGAGACTCCGATGCCAACTTCTTCAGAAGGACGGTCAAGCTTTCTTCTGTATACCATGATCTCATTCCTTCTAATTGCTTGATCAGATGGGTTCTCAATCTCAATAGATCAAGTGGAATGATGTGATAGACTTCGGTAACAAGGGGGGCATGCTTTGTGAGGACGCAGCAGTTGCCGTCACGTTGACGTGCCTTTTGCGGAAAGAGTGTCAATTTCAACTTCTCCTTTCCACCAGTAAGTCAACCCACCCACTTTCGGCCACCCCAACGAAAATGGTCTCAGATCACCACCACCAAGTACACTCAATTAATTAACTACCTTCCACTGCCACTACAATACACTCACTACCGTCACTAGGTAAATCGACCCTTGCGAGTCGACTGGGACTAACGAGACGTTCGCCAGAATACTCCTGAGCTCTCTGTATGTCCTTGATATTGGCGAACCTGGTATTAGGGTCTATCTGTACAGTCTTCTTCTTCCTGGGGGCCATGCGGGTAACTCTGGCTGCAAGAACTCGAACTTGGTGCCGAGAGGTGGCCAACTGGTAGGCTTGTTCGCTGAAAGCTTTCTTGACCTTCTTGAAGAGCAGTCGTTGGGTGGTGTGGTCTGGACTAAGCTCTGTAAATAGCTTTAAGTGGCCAGACAGCTCGCTGGCCTTCCTAGGAGTTAACCAGTTAACAATAGACGTCGCTACTGCCTAATCAATTGCTCCTAGGACATTACCAATTGCTTACCCAGTATTTGCGGTATTGTTTAATGGTGTGGCTGGGCTGGGCAGGACCATTTGGCATTGAGTTGGTAAGTGGTCGATCCATATTGATTGGCCATAGTCCAGTTGCTCTCCAACCACTTCGTATATTAGACGACGTCAAACCCGCCAAACGAGCTCTCGTATAGCAGTCTAAGAAGTAACGCTTTCCAACGATAGTAGAATTGTCTATTATATCGCACTTTCCGAGCTCCTTCCTGTAAGTGGACTTCACTGGTCCAAAAACAGCCATATCCAGGGGCTGAAGGACATGAGAGGTATGTGGTGGCAAGAAGGGCAAGTAGACGTTATTACTAAAGCACTCCTACATAAATTCAGTCGTCGTATAACTCCCATGGCCATCCAGAACCAACAATCGAGGCTCCTTTTGACCGTTAAGTCGACCAAGGGGGTCCCTAAGGAGGGAGGGGGGTGTCTGGGTCTCTGGCAAGAACACCTCCCTCAGCCAATGGAGGGCAGTCTGGTCTGTCGTCCACCCATTATCTATTGTTGTGAAGTGCCAACCCTTATATGGGTTAAGTTGAAGGGGAAACCACTGCTGTTAGACCGACTTTCCCTTATATATGACCAATGGCTTGATGGCTTTACCATCAGCAGAGATACACTCGATAATAGAGACCCAAGCACGCGATCCAGGCTCTTTTTTTCGCACTGCTTTGGTCTCTGCCATACCTAAGACCAACCCATTAGATCCCTTGCCCTTAAGGATACCAGTCTCGTCCATATTATACCGGTTGGCTGGTTTAATGCCCTTAATCTCTGGTATCTCGAGTAATCTAAACTAGGGCCTAATTACCTTAGTAGTTGCTCCATTAACACGCCTTGAATCAATGGTACGACTTCTCTGGACCTTGATTGATGGATTTCTCTTAAGGAAGGCATAGATCCATCCCTTTCTAATAGGGTTAGTATCGCCATTGGCACGCAGAACTCGCTCAGCGAATTCCCTAACTTGCTCATGGGTTGGAGAGACTCCTAGAATATGCTGAATTCGAATCCATTCAGCTAGCTTATCTTCCTGCCAAGGAGGAAGCCTCTGAGGCTCAGCAAAAGCCCTTGCTCGATTCTGTTGGCCGCTTATACGATTGCGAAGTGTTGATCGTCGTACTCCAAACTCAGTCGAGGCTCTCCTGACCGAGAGACCGTCTACAATAGCTAGAAGAGCCCGATCAACTTTATTTTCGGTATAATCGACCATTACATATCAATAAATAAGTGTGCGAAAAGAAAATTCATTTGGAAGATTTTTGTAATTGTTGTGGTGGTTTGTACATTGAGGGTAGGATAATAATGCGGTGGCTGGGAGGGATATAATGGAGTGGCCTAAAGGGGGGGGGGGGGTGGACCGAAAGTGGATGGGTTGACTTATCCATCGAGGAGCAGCTGATGCTTATACTTTTGGCTTCGGACGTGTTGCTCAACGGCAGTTTTGGCCAACACAAGAGGTTAGGCTCCTTCGCGTAGCCGCGCATGACTGAGTAACGAGTTAGTAAACTCAAAGAAGAGCGGACAGGGGTGTACCATACAAGAACGAAGAAGCGTTGGTGTTGCGATGGCCCATGCCGGAAACACCGTGAGTAGAAGCCTCTTGGCCCTGGCGCTGGTCATATCATCCAGGTCGCGTCGAACTTCTGTCAACCTCTCCAAGTCCATGGTCATCAACGTGGACCAGAACGAAGCCTTGTCCAAGTGAAGCTCCTTCATCGAGGCATCTGAATGGAACTGTCTACACAGTTGATTGATCTGTTGCACCAAGGGAATCTTCTGGTCGAGGTCCTTGAGGTAGTCGCTGTTCGAGAGCCGCGGTGTGTGTGATGCCAAACGTTGAAAGAGGCACTCGAGATCTAGCATGCTGGGCACGCTGTTCAGTATGGTGTTAGCAATCTATCAGGTGCGTCGATGAAAATCGGGTAGACATTACTCTCCGTCGGGGCCTTCTCGGCTCAAGAAAGCATCTAGCAATTGTTGCATCTCGGGAATGCGGGCCAGATTGGCGGGATCGGGATTGCTGTTCAGTATCAGTCATCTAATTATCAACTGCAGTAGTGTCTAGATTGGTAGACTGTGCCCTTGCGAGTCTGGCCAACTGAAGTATTCCTCCAGCAGTCGGAGGAAAACGGGTTTCATGGCCACGGCCACGGGATTGGGGCCTGATGGATTGTCACCACGCATCTCCCGACGCACGTGGCTTTGGAGAAAACGCGCTATGGAAGCGGCGTCCTTCGAGGCGGCGTCCTTCGAGGCGGTGTCCATCGAAACGGCGTCCATCAAATGTAAGGGAGAGACAAGAAAGCCAAGAAAGTGCTTTCAACCGACTCTGTTGAGGTGAGAGCTGTAGTGAGATGAAGCCTGAAGGTGGGTGAGGTGAGGATGGAAGGTGAGCTGGAATCTCAGATGGGTGGCGGGAGTTGAAATTAAGATAAGTAGGTAGGTAGGTGGGAAGAAAATTCCACGAGCATCGGGATGGAAGCGAGAGAAGGGCAAGGAAAAGTCTGCCTTGGAAGGCACCACACGCCTTTCGTTTGTTCTTGCTCCTTCCCTGCAGGCTGCCGCTTTATACATCCTGATTGCTGCTTCTATCATCGTCATTGTTCCTGCCATTTTCAACATTCTGTTTGGCAGGATCTTTTTGTATATTTTCCTGGGTAATTTTGGTAGGAAAGAGGTTTAGAGCAAGACTGCGTTGACTGGATACAAACTCATCCTATAAGCTTGGATAGATAATTAATCCTCTGAGGGTTCGATACATAAAGACCTTCTCCTATAGTAATGCTAGATGGCGTTTTTTAACGCCAATTTTACGAGCCGAACCAGGATTTGAGAGCATCATCCGTCAGTCGATACCTAAACCATGACACTTGATCGTGGTCTCGAAGAACTTCTATAATTCTTTATAATCTTCGATCGATCCATACATCCTCATTTCCGTTCCAGACAATCATCAAACAACTCCTGAGTGAACCTCCACACCCTCTCATCCAACCCTCGCTCTCTCATATCCCCCAAAACCTCCTCATTGTCAACCCTCTCCCCCTGCGGACCAACCAGAAAGATCCCACCTCCGGACTTCTTCACACATTCAACCCCTCCAGGAACCCTCACAACTCCCTCCCGTCCCTGAGAATCATACAAATCACTCGTGACCAAATATAACCCCCTTGCACCCGCCTCCTCAACACTCATCTCCCCACCCGCACCAACCGCTCCAAACCGCCTCGCCCTTTCCAAACCAGGCGTCGCCACCATGCCAGGCATAGAATGCACGAAACTCACACCGGGGTTCTCCCTCGCCAATACCTCGAGTGCGAGTGTGCCCATGGTAGTAGCCTGCACCGAAGCAGGCCAGAACCCCCAGTTCCCCGGCCGACGGAGGTCGAGATCGTCCTCGTCGACCATGGGACCTTCCAGTCCCGCCGCTAGTACCGAGACGACTCGCGGGCGAGGCGCGTTGTTGAGGAGAGGGAGGAGCTTTTGTACGGCGCGGAGGCGGCTGTAGTACCGCGTCGACATGGATGGGTCCAAGCCTTCTATAGTATCCTGGCGTCCTTCAAAGGCGATGAAGCCGGCGGAGAGGAAGAGGATGTCGACTTTTGTTTCGTTCTGGAGGATGGTGTCCATGGCGGCGTCGATGTCAGATACGAGGGCGTGGTCTGCGGGGAGGATGGTGTAGCTGTCGTCTGGATTTGTGTTTGCGCGCAGCAAGGCGAGGAAGAACTCGTGCGATGCGACGGTTTGAGGGCGGGCGATGGAGTAGATGCGTGGGGATTGAGCGTGTTGGGCGAGGTGGTGGAGGGTGCTTTTGCCAATACCTGATGTTGCGCCGATGAAGACTGCTACCAGGCCCTTGGGCAGAGATGCAATGAGGGCATTGGACTGATTGACTAGCTGAATAGAAACCATTGTCGACAGCTTTGTCTGAGTATTTACTTGCAAGTTTGGGGATTGCAACCTTTGGGCTATTCGATAGCAAGACTTATATACAACTACAACATTCCTAGCTGTGGAAGTCCTGCCGTGCGTTAACATGGCTCATGTATTATATTTAGTTACTGACTATTATCGCCAATATCTTCCGTTACCGTTGCCAGTGTTTTACGGTAGCATATGTGCTTTCAAGATTCTTTCGACCGATATTCGGACGAAAGGTATGTGTCGGATTGGAAGTCCAATTCGGCCGCGAGTAGGGGCAGAGCATGGGCCACCTCGAGGGGGTACACTTCGACCTCGACTACCCACCCAACCTCCGGTTGGAATCTCCCTTCTACTCCTTACGCAGAATCAATCAATACAGAGATATTGATACTTCGTCACCCCCAGGACCCTACGGTTCGAACCAATACCCTATGATAGGGATACCAACAGTATGCATCCTCCAGGAATTGCTTTATCCCATTGGTCAACTCGAACCCATCTGACATCCCGTCATCAAGGCCGAGGACCGAGAAGTTGGTCAGCAATGGGCAGCCGTTCGGCTAGATAGCCTTGCAGCGGATGACCGAAATAGTCCGAAGTACGAAATCGTCAGAGAGGAACACTTCTCAGTTAGACGTCCTACCCTCCTGAAATTGGCTATCCAGCCTGGACGCTTCGGTATCGAAGCCTCATGTCCTTCGTATTCTTACTCTCACCACGATTCCGAAGCCGCGCATACTCTCCCATATTCCCATCTCGTTTTCACGGCGAAAGGTGACTTCCTCTGCGCGCACCGTCATAGCAACATTTTCTTCAAAAGTCGTGGAAGGAGACGTGGGCTTCAAAATCTGCCGAGGAGGCGGTGGGCCCGAAGAAGATGACGAAGGCGACGATGGTTCCGTGCCGGTCCTGAAAAGCCCCCACCGGCCGGCCTTCTTATCCTCTTTTGCCTGTTCGACCACGGCACGGACGACGGTGCGGCCGAGCTTCGGCTCGGGCTGTAGTCGTTTCGCGAGACGCCGGGCCAAGCCCTCATCGCTCCACCACCATTCTCCTTCCCTCGACGACGACGACGACCCTACATTGGTGTCGTCGTCCCAGCGGCCCCACTCGTCAAATTCATATGAGGAGCCTGCAGTTGCATTTCCGGAGGCTGAGCCCGAGCTTGGACCCTTGGTGTCACACCTCCCCTTTGAATCGGGATCGGGCTCCGGTTCCACGCGGATGACTTCCGCGACCTGTCCTGCCTTCGGGTCGGCATCTGAGGCGATGATCCATTCTGGACCAACTGTTGCCGAGGGAACGAGATAGAGCTCTGTTGATACCGGCGGATGAGGGGTTGTCCCTAGACGCGTTAAGAGTGATGTGATGTGGGGCGTCAGAAGCGGGAGAAGAGCTGTCGTTGTGACGGTATCTCGGGCAGTTTGTTGAGCTTGTGTTTCACGGAGAAGGGAAGAGAGGTTGTTGAGAGTTGCCGAGACCGATGAGTTGGGGTTGAATGACGATGGCGAGTGGTACGATGTCGTTGCCTCGTTGTATGAGGGGGGTAGGTCCCCGTCTCCATCACGACTTTTCGACATCGCGACGGTACCTTAGAGTAGGTTGGGAACTAGGTTGATGCTTCGTGGTTTGGCGACCGAGACTTGTATGAAGGTGAACTCGTAGGGCTGATGCAGTGCGAGTCGTGGGTAAGATGATTGGAAGCCAGGCGTTCGTGGGCCACAGGGTGAACAACGACCTTGAGCGATGAACCGCAACTTACTGAGCGCTCTTGTGCTGGAAAACGCCTCGGGCGACGTCTGAGATCAGATGTGTGCCGCAATAGTGAATGAACCTTGGAGGATCGGGAAAGGCAGGCAACGACTTTCGGTGCCGAGACGGCAATTCCGCAATGGTGAAAGAGTGGAAACACAGTTCGATGTGGTGGTTGAAGTGCTCTCGGCCGACGCCGATGGGAGCATCAATTCTACTTCCACAGGGCTGAGCGTTGGGAACCGGAATGCCTGCGCGGAGTGGAAGTCACAATCCGGGGATGGTGGCGGAGATTATCGGATTGGTTGGTCACAGGGTCACAGGGTCCTTGGACCAACTGATGATATGCAGGGGCGGGAATTGTATGGTTATGTTGAATCAAAGAGTAGGAACGGAATGAGGCCGTGAGAGGCTGTGAATCGCTTCATGGGTGTTGTAGATCCTTCGATTAACCCTTGGGATCGGTTCAAGCGGCATTGCGGCTGGGCGAAGCAGCATCGCCAGGCGCTGCAATTGCTAGTCGACGATTGTCGGTGACGCTAATGGCTTGCTCTAAGGATTCTCGGAGGCGTTCTTGGAGAACGTGCTGAGAAGAAAAGGAGGGGGAAAACGCCCGACTGAAGTGCTGTGCTGCGCCGCAGCTGGTTTCTATTGGAAGGGGGCGAGGAGGCATTAGCGCGCCCTCGCTCAGCATTCCCGGAACAGGTGACCGAGAATGAGGCCCGCTGGTCGATTGATAGGAGAGAAATTCAGGCTCAGGACTCGGTCGTCGATTAGGGAATAGAAGGTCAAGTCAAGTCCGATGTAACTGTGAATATTTGAGCGATTTCCTGGCGTTGATAGTGCGTGATCAAGATGCCAGTTTCAGCCGCAAGATAAGTAGTTGACATGCAGTCGTAAAGTAAGCGTTCGGTGACGGGAAGGACAGGCCTTCCTTCATATTGCGGTTCCCGGAACTGGAGCAGACTATGCCGTTTGAGAGGGATTGTGGACGAGACATTAATTACATGCCTGTGTTGTATCGACGGGAACCTCGATGATCTGATTTTGGCCTGCGCACTTGCATTAGCCCGTCCCTGCATCCCTTGATGCAAGTCTGACCTGGCGAAATCGTGAGTGAGGGTGTTGTCAATGTGTCGGGCGAAGAAGTGGCGGGCCTCAGATGGGACGTGCTGGGGGGGGGGGGGGGGGGTGGATCGACACCTTAATTTCCTCAGACCAGCCACATTGGGCGATTACATAGTTAGGCAGCCATATACGGCAGGCTTCGAGAATAACTCTAGCGCGCTTGAGCCACATCACCTGACTTGGCTCATCCATTGCGGACTTTTGATTGGCCTAAAATGCTCCGACTGTGTCACGTGGAGAGACATGACTGACTAACCGGCTGCCTGCCGTGCATGCCGTCTGATGCAACAATAGGAAGGGGCCAATTCAGCCATGCCATTTCCTCCACATTCAGGACCCATGGATGTCTTGACTTACCCTATGCACCGCCACCAACGGGACGGCGCCCTGACGGCGACCATTTACCAATGTTACCGCCCAACGCTTGTCTTCACTCCAACAATGATGTGCTATGCTAGGCATGCCACGAGGCTCATTTCACAGGCTGCCAGAATGCTATGTGGTGTAAACAAAAAATGCCTGGTCACTGGTCACACGCTAGCTGCATGATGCATCCTGCAACCGTTTACTGGTAATACTAGCTTGCTTGGCTGGGCGTCCCCGTCAGGGGCTCAATGAGGTAGGTAAGGTTGGTGAAATGATATGACCCCATTCTCGAGCTCGGAGCTTGATGTCTCGGTTTCACCGCATTGTTTCTATATAATACGACGGTAAGCTTCTTTACTTGCAGTGTTGTGTCACACAAACATAGAGCTACCTCGAGATACCTCGAGTCTTCTTATCTACAAGAGCATATCACTACCTCAAGCAACCTTTAGTCCAAACATCCCTCTAGCTATTACGTTATCCTCAAGTAAGAGCCTTAATCCCAACACGTTCAGAAGAGCAGTCACCTTATAAGATCTCACACCCTTAACGCCCGTCCAACCCTTCCTCTATCTCTACCTTACGCCCACTCACTTCAACCCAAACAACACAGCCAAAATGTCGTACAGAGTCGCCGCCCCCGATGAATACCTCGCCATCACGGGTATGTCCGTGAAGACGGTCAAGATCACAAAGGCCGCCTGGGTATGGCCCTTCCAACGCTGCATGCGCTTCCGCATCACGCCCCATGACTATGCCATGAGCCTCCAGGCCATGACCAAGGAAAAGCTTCAATTCCTCCTGCCCGTCGTCTTCACCGTTGGTCCCGATGTCAACCAGCGCGGCGCCAACGCCGCCCATCAATCCAACCACCACTCCGGTACATCGGAGCAACAGCAGCACGATGAGGACGACAGCTACACGTCTTCCAACCGTCGCGAGGACCGCGGCGACGCCCTGATGAAGTACGCCATGCTCCTCGCCGAGTCCGCTGACAAGAAGACCAGCTCCCTGCTCCATCTCGAGAACATCGTCAAGGGCATCATCGAGGGTGAGGTCCGTGTCCTGGTCTCCAGCATGACCATGGAAGAGATCTTCACCGAGCGCGAGGTCTTCAAGCGCCGTATCTTCCGCAACATCCAATCCGAGCTCAGCCAATTCGGCCTCAAGATCTACAACGCAAACGTAAAGGAGCTCAAGGACGCCCCCAACTCAAACTACTTTGAGTCCCTCTCCCGCAAGGCCCACGAGGGCGCCAGCAACCAGGCCAGGATCGACGTCGCCGAGGCCCAGCTGCGCGGTAACGTCGGTGAGTCGAAGCGCAAGGGCGAGCAGGAGCGTGAAATAGCAAAGATCAACGCCGAGACCGCCGTCCAGAAGACGGACCGCGACATCGAGCGCGCCACCGCCGAGGCCAACCTCGACACCCGCCAGGCCTCCCTCAGCAAGGACGTCGAAATCGCCCGCGTCGAGGCCCGCCGCGCCCTCGAGTCCAAGGACGAGGACCTCAAGCGCGAGGTCGAGCTCAAGCGCGCCGCCGCAGAGATTGAGCGCCTGCGTGCCACCGACGTCGTAAAGGCCACCATCGAGCGCGAGGCGCGCCAGCAAGAGGCCGACGCCGAGGCCTACGCCATCGAGGCCGATGCCAAGGCGAACTTTGAGAGGAGCCAGCGCGAGACCGAAGCCAAGGCCTACCAGACGCAAAAGGACGCCGACGCGCATACCTCGGCCGAGTTCAACCGCACCACCAAGACGGCTGATGCAAACGCCTACAAGGCCCGCCAGGACGCAGAGGCGCACCAGTACTCGGCGCAGCTCAACGCCGAGGCTGAACTCGCCATCATGCTGAAGAAGGCCGAGGGCATGTCTGCCATGGCGGACGCATATGGCAAGATGTCGACTGCCTTTGGCGGGCCCGCCGGTCTGCTGCAGTACCTCATGATCGAGAAGGGCACCTACGTCCAGCTCGCAAAGGCTAATGCCGAGGCCATTCGCGGCCTGCAGCCCAAGATCAGCGTCTGGAACACTGGTAGCCAGGGTTCTGGTGAGGGTGGTGCCAACTCTGGTATTGATACCATGCGCAACGTCTACCAGATGCTGCCTCCTCTGATGACGACGATCAACGAGCAGACTGGCATTACGCTGCCTGAGTGGCAGTTTGGCAAGATCAATGCTGGTATGCAGGCTATGCAGAGTGAGAACGGCGCCAAGGTCAATGGTTCCAATTAAGAGGGGACTCATACCACAGACACTCATTTAAAGGATTGATGATTGGAGCAGATCGGCGTTGATGGCTATTTTTTTGCTTAATTCACGAGTTTGATACCACAGCAGGAAGGCCGCGGTCGATTTTATAGATTTCCTTTGTCTGTAGTTGTACTTTTAGATGGATAGTTACCTAAAGTAAAATCATCTCCTTGCCTTACACATTGGAAATACTCGAACGTCTTTACGATTCTCAAGCGAACAAGATCGAATATTGTTGGTATACACTTCAGCAGGGCAGCCTGAGGGCCGGTACGAAGCTCATGCGTATGTATGTATAAGGAGGAAGTTGGTGGGCGTAGCTCACGATTCTTCCGTTGGGTACAAGTAGGTGGAAGGGCCGTTTGCAACGGCCCAGACCACCTTCCCAATCCACCTTTTCTGCCAATGTTCCAACAAATATAGTAAAGCAGTCCAGGGCCAAGTCTTTTTGCTAATTAACTTAGTCTCATGAGTCTCGAAGCCCCTAGGTAGGATGAGCTACGCCCAGCAAATCAGTAACTCCCCGGGTAAATCTCGGCAGGACTCTTGAACCTTTCCTCCATGTAGAAAACAATGAGGTGTTTATTTCAAGAGCGCCACCCAGGCTTATTTGACGTCGGGGTGCCTTCTCATTGAGAATTTAACCTAAGAGGGGGGTAGAAGCAGAGTCCGAGAGAATGCGCTGTCCCATCGAGTGCGAAGCAATGTCAGTACAAAGGTACGTACTTCTCCTGAGGGCTGGTAACGAATCACGTCTTCTTCTATGACAAACCATATCAATCCCGTCTTAATGCCGTCTGATGTACCCAGTCAATTCGGTAATTCAAATGTTCGAGAAGACTGGAGAGGCTCATAACGACGTTTTCTCGCGCTCGATGGGATATGGGCGCCAAATAAGTGTGTGCGATAGTAGAGAAAGGGAGGGCCGTCCAGGCTTAGCTCGGACCCATAAATGGCTGGCGTAAGGTCGCCCGTAACAGTAGAGCTCATTTCCTATATGATATCTGATAATCTCGTCACGTCTAACGTCATCTTGCTGCTGGGGCGAAATCCGAAAGTGGTAGCTGTTATTCATTGGGGACAGGCAGGGGACTGCTCAGGCAGAGTATTTCGTATCCGGTGGGCGTCCTTAGCTATGTTCCGTGTTGTCCGAGGGCATCTGAGTGATGCTATTTACTGGATAAGCATTCTGACAGAATTCGGAATTGTACCGTTGCGCCATATACAAAAGAGAGATCCCTCTACTGCATTTAGGTAGTTGTGGGTACATATAGTTTCCGTCACATTCCCTCAAAGACGCGAACATCAACATTGGGTGGAATAGATATAATATACTGACTTAGTTGGTAAAGGTGACATAGTGATCTGATTTACGACCCGTCATTCCTGCACCACTAACGAATTCATCACCCATGGCAGAACGATGCCAGTGATGATGATGAACGTGAACATGGAGGCCAAACAAATGCTGTACCGGTTCATGCCGCCGCTAATAGTCTTGAATGCAAAAATGCCCCTCCATGCCCAATAACGAAAATACCTTCAAGTTCTTTCCGTACATGATCTCGGTCACATAGCCTCATGCTCTCTATGGCCTTATAACAGCGACGAGCTATGCGCACAAGCTTCTAACAATCATGATAACCCCTTATCGCCCATCATGACCATCCAGCCAAGGCCCTGCATCAACTGCATCACCTCAGGGGTTGGTCTGTCATGATAAAACCTGACGAGAAGTCTTTTCAGAGACGGGATAGCCTTCAACTGCGCGTCGACTTGCGACAAAGCCTCGCGGCGGGACTGTGAGTCGCCAGGAGCTTCTCCAACAAGACCGAAGACATTGTCCTTATACATGTACAATTCCAACGTTTTCAGATTGACACAGTAGTCTTGGAGAAGCTTCAAGGTGCGCGTCCCATCCTGCGTAAGCCCCAGCGCTTCGGACCGTCCCTTTACCGCCCCGAGGGGAGGAAAGCTGAGGGACAAGTGGGATAGCAGACGCGCATGGGCTGACGCGGGAGAGACCAAAAAGGCTTCTAGGATCGAAGTTTCGCGTCGGGTTGTGGTGTCGACGAGGTTGAAATGATTCGAGCCGTAAAAAGCTGTATTCGTCTCTTGTTCATTGTACTCTCGACACTTCGCCAATGGCAATCCAGGCCATTGCGTTTGTTTACCGGGCACGAAGAATTCTATCGGTCCGCTTGGAGAGTCTTGGGAGACGAATATTGAAGTGGAGAGCACGACTGTTTTGTTGTAAGCGTCCTTGCGAGCCTCTGACGACATGTTGGAGAGAACATCCTTGGGCGAGCACAGTCCGGCTTCCTCCTTGGATTCCATGGTTTCTAGAGCGGCTGCGAGTATGTGATGAAGAGGGGAATTTTCAATTGCGGTGTTTCTTTAAGGTTTTAAATGCGGTTAGTTGTGTTGGTTATGTTAGTTGTGTTGGTTATGTTAGTTGTGTTGGTTATGTTAGTTGTGTTGGTTATGTTAGTTGTGTTGGTTATGTTAGTTGTGTTGGTTGTGTTGTGTTGGACCCCTGAGCGGTCAGCAGAAAAGGTGGATGTGGAAGGCGGTATGGTTATGAAGATATGGAGTCTTTAATGCCATGGATGTACAAGTGTAGCCCAGATAGAATGATAAAGAAGTAGTTGCATTTTGCGCTGTCGACTGGCTAGGCGTGCGAAATTATAGTAAAGTGTACCTATACGGCCTATGTATTCAAGGTCGGATACATCTATCGGGTTGCAGAAATAACTATCTCTGCCCTACGAGAACTCCTGGGGCTAATCCGGCACAGAAAACGCTTCGGATGACTAGTAAGCCCGTTCGTCAACTCAACAAGGGGTATAATTTCCTCCCCCCTCGGCCCTCTAGCTCTCTCAATCCTGACCGTCGCCAACATTGACGCGATGGCAATCCAGACGCTCGCCTCCGCGAGGTGCCTCCCAACACAAACCCTTCTCCCAAAGCCAAACTGTCCCACCGGAAACGGCTCCCCGCGGCCGCCCTCCACGATGGGAATATACCTATCTGGGTCAAACGTCCCGGCATCAGCGTACGTCCGCTCGTCATGCGTCATCGCGCGCGCGTTGGCGTACACGAACGACCCTTTGGGTATGAACATGCCATCGTAGACATCATCCTCGAGCGAGCGGTGCGGCACGCCGATCGGGGATACAGGGCACCACCGCAGGGTCTCCTGGACGATATAGTCAATATATGGCAGCCTCGGCCTATCTTCAAATGTCGGCAACCTCCCGTCCTCGACGACCTCGTCTAGCATCCTCTGCGCCTTATCCTGGACCTCGGGGTGGAGAACCATGTTAAGCACGAAGACCACCAGCGTGGACCACGTCGTATCCTGTCCCGCGGCGTAGACCGCCCCCGCTGCGCCCTTGATGTCATCTACCGACAGCTCCGGCGTCATTCCGGATTTGATCTGCTCTGCTCTCTGCTCGAGCAGGATCTTGATGAGGCTGTGCTCCTGGTCCTGGGTCTTCTTGGCGGTCACGGCGGCGTAGGGGGCATCGTGGATCTGGCGGATAGCCCAGCTCCAGTCCCGTGCGAACCGGAGCGACCGGTCACGGACTAGCCAGTCGGGGAGGTACCGCACAAAGGGGAAGAAGTCGACGAGAGTCCCGGCCGGGGCTCCGCCGTGGCCGAGGGCGTAGGACGCGTCTGTGGCCATTTGGATGTACGGGTCGGTATCACTTTCCACATTGACACCGAAACCTATGCTCATCACAACGGCGGTCGCGAATCTCCGAAGGGACGTCTCCCAGGATCCGGGGTCTCTTATAATGCCCTTCAACAAAACCAAGGCCTCCCTCTCCTGTAGCTCGCGGTACATCTGAATACTCGTCTTGGAAAAGCTCCGCTGCAGGATCCTGCGATGCATACGAAACTCCGAGCCCCATCGCAAAAAGGTCAACGTCTTGCGCCAGCCCATCTCCTCAAATAGCACAAAGCGCGGGCGATCGCAGTAATTCGCCCCTCTTTTATCGAGCAAGTCGACGGCGGCGCGCACAGAGTTGAGGACGACGACGGGCTGGCCCAGGACGTTGAAGTAGAGCACATCGGAGCGGTACTCCTTTGACCAGGCGGCGTAGGCGTATTCCGGGTTGTCGGTCGGGATGATGCGGAGGTGGCCGAGGATCGGTTCGCCGCGGGGGCCGGGCGGGAGCGGGAGGCCCCGCTGGGTTCCGGGGTTGCGTGGGCGCGTGCGCCGGGTCCGTAGGGCATGGATGGTGACGGCGCCGGCTAGGAGGAGGAGGATCGCGGCGAGGCGTGTGCTATGCACGGATATCATTTGGAAGAGGGCCATTGCCGTGTATCGTATTTCCATTCAAAGGAATGTAGCGAGCGTCGTTAGCGAGCGAATCTGCCCTCGGGATAGTCTTACTTACTAGGATCACCGAAGCTGGGAAGATGGGTATTGGTGATGGGGATGCCTCGAGGCTCTTATACGGAGGTATCACCAATGATAGCCAACGCGATTCCAATTCCAACCTTGTCGTGATGCAGCACGCAGGAACCCCAGAATGGTCATTTTGGCTGACGGGGTGGAAGAAGGGCCAGCGTCCTTCGAGCACGTAATGATGAGGAGACCTTATTCTGCCAGTGGATTACCTATCAGCGAGAAGTCATTGAGGGTAAGAGTCAAGGACACACAGACTAAGAGCTGTTTAACTCGGGTTAGTGCATGTGAGAAACCTGAGATGAGGAGAACTTGGGCATGACGCCAAACCAACACAAAGGAAAACCTGGTCGGAAAATCTGCCCACGACGGCTTGCCGGATCCTGGTAATAACCGGCAAAAGGAGCCACTCCAAAGACAAGTGTATCCGCAGCCGGCGATAAGCTCCTGAGATTGCCGGAAATGGGCAAAATGTTAGTCGTCTTACACGACATGGCCCATCTGCTACACCGTGGTCCCTGGTCCATGGGCTGTTCCCGCGTTTTCCGTATGATGTTGAGCTTTGTGCCATTTTGGAAGCTTTTACTATCGAATGTTTCTCGGAGTATACTTGAGCTGTGCTGGAATTCATTTGTAGCTGACCCTCTGCAATACTTCTACGCACCTTCTTCTTTCCTACGGCCCTCCGTTTCTTGTCATTCACTCCAACGGTCTCACCTAAGACGCAGATATTACTCACTAGTCACAACGTCTAGTCAGTGACGTGCAGACGGTAGCTCGCATCACCGAATCACACGGAGCCGCGTGTGCCTTTCTGCTCACCTGCTCTACCCCTCACCACAGACAATAGAGGACGGTCTCGAAAATGGTCGGGGCCACAGCGGCGGCCGCTTACTCCACGGCGCCGACTGACTCGGACCCCCACCGCTACCAAACGGGGTTCGGAAATCGGTTCGCATCGGAGGCCGTGCCGGGAACGTTGCCCCTCGGTCAAAATGCGCCCCAGAAATGCAAATTCGACTTGTATTCAGAACAGCTCAACGGGTCCGCCTTTGTGAGCTCGAGGGCGACGCTTCAGCATGTGTGGATGTATCGCATCTGGCCGTCGGTCGCGCATCGCGACGTCGTGCCTGCGCCGGAGCTGAATCCGTGGCTGCAGGCTTGCTTTTCGCCGTTCAATGAGCGAGTCAAGTATGTTGCGGCACAACAGGCGTGGGATCCGTTCCCGCTGCCTGGCGAAGAGGGCGAGGCAGAGTCAGGAAGTATCGATTTCGTGCAGGGAATACGTACAATTGGTGGCCAGGGAGATCCGATTTCGAAGGAGGGCATCGCAATACACGTCTACACCGCATCCAGGTCCATGACGAATAGAGCCTTTTGCAATAATGATGGGGACTTTATGATCCTCCCACAGCAAGGCAGGCTCAACATACAGACCGAGCTAGGCTGGCTCATGGTCCGGCCGGGGGAGTTGGCCGTCATTCAAGCCGGTCTGCGCTTCCGCATCTCCCTACCCGACGGCCCGTGCAGAGGCTATATCCAAGAAATCTTTGGCAACCACTACGAGCTGCCGGAGTTGGGACCCCTTGGATCGAATGGAATGGCGCTGCCTCAGGATTTTCAGAGCCCCGTCGCCTCGTTCGACGTCGACTCATCAGAGTGGGAGATTGTCTACAAGATGGCGGGCTCGCTGCACGCGTGCCGGCAAAATCATACGCCGTTTGACGTCGTCGCGTGGAGGGGTAACTTAGCACCCTACAAGTACGCGACGGAGAGATTCATCAATGTTGCGAATGTGAACCGTGACCAGGCTGATCCGACGGTCTACTGCGTTCTTACGGCCAAGTCCAAGATCCCGGGTGTCTCGCTGACGGACTTTTTGGTCTTTACGCCTAAATGGATCCCGACGTCGGACACCTTTAGGCCGCCGTATTATCACCGAAACATGTCGACGGAGATGATGGGCTTGCTTTATGGGACGTACGGTGGGAGTAGCCACGTTCTGGAGCCAGGTGGATTGAGTTATGAGGCGAGTTATATGCCTCACGGCGAGACGTATGAGACGTGGTTAGATGCAACGACCAGAGAGCTGAAGCCTGATAGGATATGTGAGGGTACGGTGGCCTTCATGTTTCATATTAGTGTTCCTGTTTTGCTTACTGAGTGGGCGATTGAAGGGGGAGGGGCCAAGTCGTTGCATCTGAGCTCTGGGGACCCTTGGGCTGGTGCGAAAGCGCACTTTTTGGATCATTTGGATGAGATTGATGTGGAGTTGGGAAAGGCGGGATTATCAAGTCTCGGGAGGAAGAAGGCCGATAGGGTTGTGAATGAGGGCCGGCATGCTTATAGTAACGGTACAAACGGTCATAGTAACGCATAGAATACTGCTTGGCGATCGAATATCATGAACATAGAGCTCCCTGAAAGCTATTTCAAATGGTCAGAACATATGTCAAAGGCCACAAGTAAGGTGTTGACTACATGTACTAAGGTGAGTGACATCGCGATAGGCGCTTTTATGAGAATGAAAGTGGCATATTGTACGGCGGCGAATCTCGGCATTTAACCCCTCAACGAGCTTGTGGTGTATTAGAGACACATAATAAGAGAGGGGGAGTAAAGGGAAAAGCTGGGATGCTCGGTGATGTCCCATTCCTCGATCCAAGCATGGAGTAAGATATCCATGATAACGCTATCTTCCCCTCCCAGATATCGGCTCAAGTCTTCCGATCCACTTATAGATCCTGCTAGCCGGCGATTCTCGTTTGGCGTTCCTTTGTCGCTGCCTGTCTGATTTCATCATTTTCCATGTTGGAAACATCGTGTGACTCATTAATCTCATTTTTCTTCCTTGATAGCCGTGAAGGTTAGGCTACTATCAACCATGTCTAGTTCCACCCGGGAACCCACCGACGAGCCCGCTCCGGAGGACACCCATATACAAAGGCCCATTAGACGCCGTGGGGGGGCCGCCTGCCGTAGATGCCGGCGCCTTCGATCCAAGTGCGTAAAGCAGAATTCACAGCCGCCGTGCGAAGCATGCCGCCATGCCGGCACCGAAGCCGTGAGATCTTGCACATTCCCTCGACGTGGGGATGGGGCGGCTGACCGTCAGTTCCGTCGACGATCGCGACCACTGCCGTTATATATACCCGATGATACCGACTCTCCAGGTAGCCCCGACGGGTTTTCTATAGTGTGCGGCTCTTCCACAATGCAGGAGAGTACTGGGTTGGGCACAGTTGCGGAGGATACTTTGGAAAATGGGGCGGCAGGTTTGATGCCGCGGACGCCAGAGCTGTCTGCTGGAAAGACTATACCTCCCACGCCAGCAAGAGAACCAGCGAGAGAACCTGCAAGGTCATTGCCGCCGAATGAAGAAGTAGCCGAGGGCTGTAGAACCTTTGTGACATCCTACTTCCAGCTGGGATTTATCCCAAAGGCAATGTTCCAGGAAAACCTAGCACAGGACCCTCTCGCAACAAGCAACTTCCTCCTTTGCTGTATCCTTTCCATTTCCTCCCGCTTCACCCCTATCCTGATCCGACGATTTGGAACTGCTGCTGAAGCAACGAACCACTTCCTAGAGCAGGCAAGAGGCATGGTGTCAGAGGAGATGTACCAGCCCTCGTTGGAAAACACCCAAGCCTTCTTCCTACTCGCCATCGCGGAGTGGGGCAATGGGGACAAGGAGAGAAGCTCGATGGATATGGGAGTTGCAGTGCGTATGGCAACGTTGCTCAAGCTTCATCTAGAAGAGACGTACGCTCTACCGCCGAATGCCAAGGCTGAGCAGGTGGTGCGGGCGGAATCGGCAAGGCGCACGTTCTGGATGATCCAGAGCCAGGAGAACCTCCACTCTGGGCATAGCACTCCGACGCCCTTTCCCCTGGAGGCCATCACGGCCCTGCTTCCTTGCCCAGAGAGCGACTTTGCTTTCGGCGTTGCCCCTGAAGAGAGGGCTGCGTTACCTGGCACGCCTCCTGCCATCGCTTGTCCTCGCCTCGTGAGGGGCTCGGAAAGATGCCTTTTTGCGACACTTATCCAGGCACATAACCTATGGGGGAAGGTTGCTCGTCAAGCAGGGCATCCAGCCGACAGTCTGGCGGTAGAATATCCCTGGAGGCCTCAGGGTCGATACGCTACGCTGGCGCAAGGGCTCAAATCGTGGGAGGCGGAAATTCCACCGAAGCAGAAATGGAGTGTGTGGAACCTGAGGGGTTGGAGGGCGGAGGGTTTACACCTAGCCTACCTTTCAGTCGTCATGGTCTTGCGCCTGAGTAATATTGTGCTGAGGAGGGCGTACATCAACTACATTATCCTTGCCCTATCACCCATCATCGCAGGCGACGAGAAGGAATGCCAGAACATCGCGCCCGAGGGCTTCTGGATCGTCATGTCTAATGAGCTATTTGATAATGTGGTCGAGTTACATGAGCAGGTCGAGGCATACTTCAGCATGAGGGCCCGCGACGAGGGGTTCCCTGCTATCCTGGTCTTCTGCGTCTATATGTGCGGCTCGCTTTCGTCGTACTTGTGGCGGCACCCGTGTCTATGTCCGCATGTCGCTCCATCGGAGGCTGAGGGTATGGCGTTGGGATCTTTGAGGATCCTGAGTGAGCTGCATCAAGCGTGGCCGACGAGCACGAGGTGGCAGCAAGGGTTGCAGCAGGTTGCCAGCCCCCTTTCTGTGACTGCGTCCCCCGTAGCGATGAGATCTCCAGGAAAGGGGGACAGGTCGAGTACGCAGGACCGAAGACCCATCCTAGCAACTAGGAAACTAGAGAAAAGTGCTTTGCTTGCTGTAAGTCGTGAGGAAGGTATAGGGGAGATGGCGTATCAGGACTGGCAATCTGGAGTTGGTAACTTGCCCCAGATGGATGCGTTCCCTGATGACTTATTTGATGCCGAGCTTGCTGCATTTTTGAATGGTGAATCTAGCTATAGTCTTCTCAGTTCTATGCCGTAGGTCATAGTTACACGCATGGCTGGCCGACATTAATGATTTCCCTACACCTGGGACAAGTGTCACAGTGAGCGTTCTTTCTCTCATAATCAATGCAAAAGAATTGTAAACCGCATAGAATTTCCATTGGAGGTCTTTGACTCTGAGTTTGCCAATATGGCTTATGGACGCGTGACGACTTTGAGACATCCTTAGGATGTTATTTAACGCACCGGGTCGCTGACTGGATGTGGACTTATTTTAGGTCTGAGAATGCATGGTCTATAACTGCCTCGTAGCAACGTCGCTGAAGTGTACTGCTCACTTCTCTACCAACGATACAATGACTAGAGACTGCTTTCTCAAGTCTATCCCGGACCTGGCCATCAACTACACAATCGATGTGTCTCCATGTCTACTACCCAAGTCACATGCACCCAGGCAATCTCATTTAGTGTCTTTCCCCCTGCCGGAACCCGCGCTCGCTTCCTTGCTGGCCTTATGAGACTGTTTTGTCGATCGAGATTTGGCTTTCCGTTGTACCTTCTTATTGTGCTTCTCTAGCCACCGGTCGCATATAGGCTGATCTCGAGCGTCTCGTCGATGTGGTACAACTTCAGTGCCAGGAATAGATATGTCAGCCATTTAGTACCCTGTGAACAGGAAACTAAAGTGTTAGATAACTTGGCTTACCTTTGATTCCGTACGTCCTGACAATGGAATCCTCATCTTTGAACGGGACCTTGCATCCTTTGAAGTGTGCTATCGCATCTCCCCCAGCAATGGGGTTTCTGGAGAAGGTGTGGCTCTGACAGCTCTTCTTCGGACAGACCAATATCCAGTGCATCTCTAAGCCATCGAGCTTGTATGAAAAAAATAAAATCATCAGAGTGAAACCTTTCCACGTTGCAAACAGTCACAACTTTGGACCCATCGCCCTTTCTACGTCGAATAGCAGCCCTATCTCGATTCTTGGGAGGAAGGGGTTTCGAAGTACACGTAGGGCTGATGGAAGAGAGGAACGGTAGCGTCGTCGAGGGGTATGGTCTGTTTTCAGTGTATTGAAAGGCGGAGGAGAAGAACCCGGCGACCAAACTGTGATAACTGAACTTTTGGATACGAATCGGGAATTCTTTCTGAATTTGTGCAACAATTCCGGCTCTTTCTTTGGATTCAAACTCGAGAGGCATTTTCTCCAGAAGGTCTTCCAAGATTAGCCGTCTGGCCTTCTCACAGCGGCCTAAAGTTTCCTCAATTGCACTCATCGCTTGCCTTTCGAAAATCCCTTCCCGTCGCTGGATCTCCCGAACAACTGCGGCTCTTGCTGTTGTTCTTTAAGAAACGTCGCTGGTCTCTCCAATGTCCGGAATGTTCATCATGCCGTGGCTGGTCGGGAAGGACAGAATTTCGGCCAAGTCGCGATATCAGATCGGTGGAGCGTGTTGGCGTCGATTAGTCCTGGGGGTCAACGAGCGCAGTTGCAGAGAAAGCTCAACAGGAAGAAGAGGGTCAGTGTCAAGATTGAGGAGAGAATCTCGTAATCTTATTAATGCAAGAGGCAGTGTTCGGATTCTCTTCGAGAGGTCTCACATCGGCTATTGTGACCTGTATAGACTACCTACTACAATCTTGCGAGAAACTCTCTTGGACGCCACGAACGCCAAAGGCAAAGTAGGTCCTCACGAGGAACACGACTGACATCAATGCTTCTGCCCCTCCACTCTCAGCAACTTCGCCAAAATCAAACTTCTGGTGGCTGCAGACAAATAGTCATGCTAGTAGCCTAAATACTGATTTCGGACATCCTTATTTTGTTCGAGTGGTCTAGGCGTATGCCAGGCGGGAGTATGTTTGCTGGCCGCACACCTGCTATTGACTCCTCAGCCCTTGGTGACTAAATCATGGCCATCGTGGTCACTGCATTCTCCTTAAAGTAGGGAAAGGTCTTGGGCACGATGAAACTAGGCGGTGGCGTTCAACCTGTCCGCAGTGCCCCCCCTGATCTACGGATCAGGCGTGTTGAAGGCGTGTTTTCTGACCTCAGAATTTCTTCCTCACATTGGCACCACCGACGCTGACACTTCTTCCAACAATGCCCAAACAAACACGGCAAGCTGCGTTAGTCTCCAATGCATTCATGATTCCCAATTCTGTCGTCCTTCGCTAACTCTCGAACGCTCATCCAGAATCTTGGGATTGGATTGGGGAAGTAGTTCGATTCGAGCGAGTGTTTTACCTCGGGACCAAAAGAAAGCTCTCACTGTTTGGAATACCAAGTCAACACCTGGTCATGATGAACGTTATCAAAAGGGAGCATTCAGCTCGGCATTGTATCTCTATGACGCCGGAAGGGTCTACACGGGCGAAGCTATTGACGAGGATCGCGACCCGGTGCCGTCGAAGCATTTCTTCTCCAAATATCCACAGACTGGATTCGATGCAATCGATGCCTCGTTGAACAAGTTGGGGTCAGAGAAGTTATGGGATAGAATTAATGATGGTACGGAAGCAATCATCGAAGCAGTCTTCATCGAAATCGAGAATCATTGCGACGGCGAGAATTACGATCGGGAACTGTACTGTATCGACGAGATCGGATTATCCTACCCTGCGCATTGGAAGGTCGAGGAACGAACCAAATATGAGAAGCTGATACGAAAAGTGGTTTCCGAAGGATTAGCCTGGATAAAGGAGGACTTCGATGTTAGCTTTCACGTTGAAAGCCTAGCATCGGCCCACTGTCTGTTCTGGCATCCAAAGCTGATCAACGACATCATCCCACCGCCCCTAACATCTGCGCTTTTTGTCTTTTTTGACTTTGGCGGGTACACCATGGTGAGCGCTCTTTAATAGCGGCAGCTAATCACCACGGGATTGACACTTTCTGGAATGGATGCATGTTCGCGGTACAAAAAGGCGATGGCAGCCATTTGAGCTATCACAGAGTGGGCGAGACCTTTTGTAAGCAGTTCTCTTCCCCTTTTAGCACGAAAGGTAGGACTAAGAATTGTCTCAAAGCAACTTTCGGTGGGACACAGTTCTGGGAGCGGGAAGTCTCTGATTTCTGCCGACAGGAAGTGGAGAAGCATCAAGATTGCGAGTTGCCGCCCCGACAACGAGCACGTCTACTCAGACAATTTCACTTAAAGATCAAGAGTTTCACGACAAGTGAGATCAAATCAATGTCTTTATCTTCGACAAACCCTTACAACCCACTCGAACGATATTCCGTGTATTTGAGGAAAGAGCTCGCGGAAAAGTTCTTCGCGGCTGCCCTGGAGAAACCTATACAGCTCGCTGAAAGAAAGATAGCCGAAGCAGTATCTCTGAGTACTCGTGTCAAGATCGTTCTCTCTGGGGGTAGTGGCAAGAACTCTGTTGTACACTCTCGGCTAAGGTCAGCTTGTGGAAAACATGGAGTCCCAGTACCGTTCCGCTTCTACGAGGGACTTGACAGGGAAGAGTGAGTAGTTATCACCACGCAGTACAAGTTTCTCGAACCATATGAGACCTAATGCGCAGTGGCAATTCATGAAATATCTCCAAGGGAGCGGCGATCGCAACGGCAAACATCAAGTCTGTTAAGAAGGCGCTAGGGAACGGCGCGGCGTTTGGATTCCAACTGGGAGGTTCAATCGCCGTCAAAGGCCGTAGAAAACCTAGGAGTTTGTGGGAAGAAGAAGTTGAAGTTTCCTTAGACTCGGCAAGTGTTTTGACTCATATCTTCCATTCCACATCCTTCTGATCATGTGTACTAATAAAATACGTGCAATCACAACGTGGGACGCGTTTCTGGAAGAAGTGGTGCGATGGAAAAGTCAGAGTCAAGATCATATGCGATCCTTTCTTGCAATACCGTGAAAGAAAATTGCGTCTCCGTTTCTCTTCCTGCTGCGACATTATAGAGCTCCCACAACCCTCCAGAGGTTACTGGCAGTTCAATCTTCGCCTTGATGGCAATGGCGATGATGTACGTCTTGTCGTTCAAAGGGGCTACATGGGCCAGAACGGAAAGAAGCTTTGCCGCCAAATGTCGACCATAGATCTGCCGTTGTACTATTATCCATCGTACTGTTGTTGTCTAGTAAAAACAGATGCAGAAGATGAAGGCCGGGGTCTTTTGGTCTTGGAAACGGGGGAGATTGTGGCCTGTCCACAAGAGCAGACGCGAAAAGATCTTCAACGACAGGAACAGGCACGGCTTGATAAGACGGGGGATAATCGAAAGCGAAACCGGATGACCTTCTCAGCGCGCGTCAAAAGCAGTTACAAACACGGAACCGGCTTCAAACCTCGCGGGCACTTACCGGAACTTAAGAAGACAGCAGCTAAATCAGGTTATGATAGCTCTGTAGGTGAGCGCATTTTTGCCGATTTGGTAGAGGAAACTATCACCGTGGCGAGCAGCAAAGCTCAAGGGTCAGGGGTCTCAACAGACTTTGAAACCCTGACTCCTTGTCAAGCTTCGTCTGAGGAAATCTTCAGTGATGACCCTGAGGATGAGCTTCAAGAGCAGCTGGAGCAACCGAGCATATACTCTCTCTGAGCACACCTTAATGACTTCACGTTCTCAAAGAATGAACTCTGTGCTTCCCAGAAGCCAATCCAGCTTTTAGCCTCTACACGTTTGTAACCCGTTCACACGATTTGTGGTAGTTGTTAAAATGCTCGCGGAGAGCTATTGAGGATCGATCATCAATACATAGATGGATTTGTAAGCCCATGTCCAAGTATCTCCGGCGCTTTAAGTTGGTGGAAAAGCGCACTGCTAGTTAAATGATATCTTGTAGCTAAATACTCCAAACCCCGACTCGTTGCTAGAACTTGTAATTATTGAGAAAGTCTCACAATCTTTAGCCTATGGCCCATGCACTTGGTAAAGGAAACAGGACTGAAGGTCTCATGGGAAATGTAAGATGGTATCATTTGACTTCACAAAAGACAAAGAATGTACAAAAAAGCGCGCTAAAGGCACTATGTAACCTATACATGTCTGTTCAATCTTTGAACGGAGGGCTCACGCC